ATTAGAGCTACATGTTATCAGCATAGCCAGATCTAAGGAACGTAAGCAAGTTGCAAAAGACTGTTTATACAAAGTTCTCAAGCATGCAAAAATATTGGAAATTGTTTGTGGATACGTATTAGTATAATAAAAGTATAAAAGCATGCATGGGAATTATAAACAATCAGGATCTAGGTGGTAGCAACCTGAAGCTGGTATACGTGGGGGTGGATACCGAGGCAGGGACCTGGAGTGGGGAAGATGCTGGAAGAACCTTTCTTCGTGTCTATAACATTTTGTTACTTAACTAGGGGGTAAGTGTGACTGAGGGGTTTGGTACCACTGAGGTATTTCAACAAATTGCTTGATGGCCAAAGCCATTGTTAAGCCACTTGGTTTCCAGTTAGAAAGTTTCAAAGAACTGTAGCCTTCGGTCCTTCTCGAGTCCTGAGTTGTCTGACCAGTGTCCTGCCAGTTTGTGTCTTCGCCAGTCGGTGGCCACGGCGAGATCTCTCACATGTGTGTGTTCCTGAGAGAGAGTGATTTGGAATGGGTCTGTTGGTGTCTTGAGTTGGAGCCACTGCTGTATGGGATGCAGACAGAGGGCCTGCCCGTAAGAGAGGCAGCTTAGCCCAGCGGTGGCCTGGGGCTATAGGAGCCACAAGCCACCCCAGGCAGAAAAAGGCCCAGAGAGATGGGCTTCGGATGCCCACGGGCCGAGACTCCATCCTGGGCTGTCAAAGGTCCTGACAGTCTGTTTTTCAAAGGGTCCTTTCGAAGGACTTACCTAGTCCACCTGCAGGGGGTCATTTTGCCTTTGCTTCCTTTACAGGACGCAAAGTGTCTGAGAAGTGAAAAAAATGACCCCCTGCAGGTGGACTTACCTAGTCCACCTGCAGGGGGTCATTTTGCCTTTGCTTCCTTTACAGGACAACTGGTGTCTGAGAAGTAAAAAAGCAGGATGCCCCCAGGGGTTGACTGCCCCATGGAATTCTGGACCAAGGAGGAGAATCAGAACGTGACAGTCGACTTCTTGCTGCCTACGGGGGTATACCTGAACTTCCCTGTGTCCCGAAATGCCAACCTCAGCACCATCAAGAAGGTAAGATCTCGACCTTAAAACTCATCCTCAGAGCTTGGAACTCAGAAAGACAACAAACTTGCACTCACATGCATAGTTTATCAGATTTGAGATCCTCAAATATGCATTTTAAAAGATCAACGATATGTGAGAATTGTTTAAAAACTTGCAGGTAGAGTCCACCTAACATTCCGAATTCAGCTTCCCCCAGGATCCGTGCACATCCACCCTCACTAGATTTCAGGGGAGCTTCAGGGTGTGGTTCCCATGTGGCCTTTCATTCTCTCCACGGCTGTGCCCTCATTTTTGGAACCACTCCCCATCCATGGCCACTTAAGCGTTTTATCGGTCTTTTGTCTTTATGGAGCTGTCATTCTAGGAAACATCATCTTTGGAAATGGCTTTGTCTTGTTAAATAATTTTCAGGGTAAATTACTGAGTCAAAGGATTAGACTATCTGGATAGTATTCAGTAGCTACTGTCTCGTGACCTTTCAAAGGGCTTGTTCTGCTTAAAAAGTGTGGCATTTAATGGGTCATGCCAGAGGGCAAGACCTTAGCTCAGAATTTTAAAAGCAGGAAAAAAAAAAAGAGAATGGACCATTCTTGAGGTTTTTTTTGTTTTTTGTTTTTTTTAAATCCTTCCTGGGAAAATTTTTTTTTTAATTTCTTTTTTTTTTTTCCTTCCATTTCAAAAGTAATGTGGACACATTGAAATTTAGGAACATAAGAAAAAGTAGGAGAAAAGTATCTACGATCCAGCCACGTGTTACTGTTACCTGTTTTCTTTTATATACAATGTAGTGTTGTTTTTTGTGGTAATTCTCATCATGAACTGTTATATTCGTTTATTTCCGAGTTGACATTATAACATCTTTTCCATGTTATTAACTTTATCTAAATACCATCTTAAGGTTAATCTTATTTATCTGCTTACAGAGCTATAAATGCATGTTATTCAAATGAGGACACTGCACAGATGTAAAACACCACAGTCACACCCTGATTCCACTTCAATTTCTTCATATATTTATTTATTCTGAGGGCCGGATAGTAAACATTCTAGGCTTTGCTGGCCTTGTGGTATATTTCCCAACTGCCAACTCTGCCTCTGGCTTTGGACAATATGTAAATGATGGGCGTGGCTGTCTTCCAGTAGCCCGTGGTCTACCGCATCCCGCTCTATATAATTAAGATGTTTATTATTGTTTTTATGAAATGGGCTTGAATTACATTTGTTGTTGTACAGCTTGGTTTCCGGCCCCCCCCCACACACACACTTAATGATGCATCTTGGAGCACTCTGTCACACAGGTACCCCTAGGTTCCGGGTCCCATCCCATGTTCTCCCTTGGCGTTGATGGGCCTTAATTACCCATCCCCCCACGGAAGAAACACAGGGCCATTCTCCTTCCTTCCGTCTTCACTGTGACATAGTGGGGAACACCTTTGCACTAAGGCTTGACTGTTGGATGGCTCTCCAGCGATCCTTGGGGGCACCTCGCCCAGAGGGCACACATGCCACAGGGTTTTATGGCCCCCTTCAGTTCAGCTTTTCTAAATTAGGGTGTCAAGGCCCAGAATGATGAGCTGGGGGTGTCTGGAGGTCATGTCCAGTGGGCCATCTCTCAGAGTAACCTAGAGGGGAGACTGTAGGACTCAGTTCCAGATTTTCGTGCATACCTGGCACCCTTCACAGGAATAGGGGCTCCTGGCGCCCCATGTGGGCATGGGTCCAGGGGTCTGGAGAGGGTGGCAGTCTTGGGGTCTTGCCCTTGCCCACTTGTCAGGGTCGTGCACGGTGGGACACCCGGACTGAGGCCAGCCTCTACCCACCTCCCAGCTCCCTGGGGTCCCGCCTGCCTTGGTCGGAGGGGCTGATGGCGACTGTTCTTCTCAGGTGTTGTGGCACCGAGCCCAGTTTGAGCCGCTGTTCCACATGCTCAGTGACCCCGAGGCCTATGTGTTCACCTGTGTCAACCAGACCGCGGAGCAGCAGGAGCTGGAGGACGAGCAGCGGCGGCTGTGTGACATCCAGCCCTTCCTGCCAGTCTTACGCCTGGTGGCCCGTGAGGGCGACAGGGTGAAGAAGCTCATCAACTCGCAGATCAGCCTTCTCATCGGCAAAGGTACCCGGCCGGGTGGGCCACGGGGTCCAGGCCGCCCCGCCTGCCAGGGGCATGCCCCTCGGCCCCCCACACTGACCGGGCCCCGCCCTGCCTCTCAGGCCTCCACGAGTTTGACTCTTTGCGCGACCCAGAAGTGAACGACTTTCGAGCCAAGATGCGCCAGTTCTGCGAGGAGGCGGCCGCCCGCCGCCAGCAGCTGGGCTGGGAGGCCTGGCTGCAGTACAGCTTCCCCCTGCAGCTGGAGCCCTCGGCACGCACCTGGGGGCCTGGCACTCTGCGCGTCCCCAACCGCGCCCTCCTGGTCAACGTCAAGTTCGAGGGCAGTGAGGTGAGCCGTGGCTCCTGCTGGGGCCGCACCCAGGTCACTGTGTCCATGGGGGACGCTGCCCCCATGAGATTCCCCAGTCCCCACCAGCCCCCTAAATTCACTCTCCCTCCCAGTAGCGTCAGATGTTATTTGTGGGGTATCCATGCATGCGAGGGACTCAGCCAGACATTCCACCAGGCAGGCTTGATGAGGCAGAATGACCAGACGGCCTTGGCCATTGGTCTGTTCGTTCGTCCAACACCTACTTCCTGGGTGTCGGCCGTGTGCCTCCGTCAGACCGCACCCTCAGGGGGCAGTGGGCCCACCCCTGTACCCCAGGACTCCGTGGGCCCTCCACAGGCGGACTCTCCCTCCCCCCCACAGGAGAGCTTCACCTTCCAGGTGTCCAGCAAAGACGTGCCCCTGTCGCTGATGGCCTGCGCCCTCCGGAAGAAGGCCACCGTCTTCCGGCAGTCCCTGGTGGAGCACGCCGAGGACTATGCCCTGCAGGTGAACGGCAGGCACGAGTACCTGTACGGCAGCTACCCCCTCTGCCAGTTCCAGGTGAGGGCTGAGGGCTGGGGGCTGGGGACCTGGGTTCCCCACGGCCTGGGCCGGGGTCTAGTGGGGGTTGGGGGAGCTGGTTCTTTGCCCCGTCTTGAGCCCGGTAAGCCAGGCCTTTGGGAGTCACGATGAGAGTGCCCCCGTGCTGAGCTGGCCCTCCTGCGAACATGAGGGCTCCATCTTTAGGAGGTGGGTGGGGCCAGGAAGGCCCAGCAGGAGAGGCCAGAAGGGCCTGAGACAGGCAGTGGTCAGCGTAGGGGTGCCCCGGGCAGCCAGGGAGGGCTGGGGACCCCCGCCAGCCACTCACTGCATCCCCACCTCAGTACATCTGCAGCTGCCTGCACAGCGGGCTGACCCCCCACCTGACGATGGTGCATTGCTCCTCTATCCTCGCCATGCGGGACGAGCAGAGCGACCCCGCCCCCCAAGTCCAAAAGCCGCGCACCAAACCGCCCCCCATCCCCATGAAGAAGGTGAGCCGGTGCCTTCCTCCGCCCCTCCGCTTCTCCCTTCCTCCCATCTGTTGTCCAGCCAGAGCCCACTGGGCAACGCCCCAGGCCGGTGGCAGGTCCGGGGCCCCTCGTCTCATGCCCCTCGGCTGGTTGGACTGTGAGCTTGGCAGCCAACACGGCTGACCGCTGACATGCTGGGGCAGAGGCCCGTCCGACTGCCCGAGGCGGCCTGCAGCCTGAGCTCAGGAGTGTGGCCCTGGGCCACCTGCACAGCAGGTTTTCTGGCGAAGGATGGGGTTGGGAGCAGGGAGCTGAGCCTCGTCACAAACCTGCAACACTCTCACCCCGCCCCCAAGAGCCACCAAGCCTCTGCGTCCGCGTGCCCTAATGGTGCCCTGATGGCCCTGCTTCTCCCCTCCGCCCCCCAGCCCTCCTCTGTGTCCCTGTGGTCCTTGGAGCAACCTTTCTGCATCCAGCTGATCCAGGGCAGCAAAGTGAACGCCGACGAGCGGATGAAGGTAGGAGCTCCTGAGCCGGAAGGGGGAGTGGGTGTTTTTTTGCACAAACAAGGTGACTGTGGCCTGTAGGGGCAAGAGGAAGAAGAGGGGGGGTCACATGAAAGCCACCTGACCACATTACCCAGCATCCCTGACTGGGGTGGTTGTGAGCTGTTTCAAAACAGGAAGGGGGGAGGGGAGCAGGCCGCCGGCCAGAGAGGTGGATTCGTAGAAACCCGGCCCAGTGAGTTCTGGGTACTCGACTCTGGAGGTTGTGGGGCCAGGCCCAGCCCAGGGACGTGGAAAACCGCAGTCAGGGAGGTGAAAGGAGTGGGAAAAGGGGCCGCTCCAGCTGGGCTGGGCGCCTTGGGACGGCCGGGGGTCACGGGTGTGGGGGAGGAGGTGTGTGCAGCATACGCTGCACCCCCAGGGGCCAAGCCCACTTCTGAGCTGGTCACACGCCCCATCTCTTCAGTTCTTGGGACAGGTTTCATTGTCCTATTTGCAAGATGTGAAACCTGGGTCTCTTTGGGGAGCCCTTTTGTCAGGGTCGTTTCACAGGCAGGCAGGTCTGGGTTCCCCTGGTGCAATCCTGGGGTACCGGGCGAAGGCAGCTTTCTGGCTGGGCTGTCACGGCAGAGCTGGAGGAGGCAGGGCCGGTGTTCACGCAGCGGTCAATCCTTCCCAACCACATAGGCTCCTAGCTGTGGAGGGGGCCGTTGGGCGTCAGAGTCGAAGGGTCCCTGGATTTCCCGAGGCCTCGATGAGGCCAGAGGCCAGAATAGGACACGACATGGCCCCGGGGTCCCACGGCATCAGTGGGGAGCTGAGACCCGGTGCCCACGCACAGCCCCCTGCGCCCCTCCCTTCACCCCTCGACCCCCACCTCGTGGCCGCTCAGCCCACGCAGGCAGGCGGCGTCCCCACTTCGTACCTCCTTCCACATGGGAAGTGGGATGCGGACCCATTGGAATGAGGACATTTCAAGAGATTCTGGCCTCAGGCGGGTGGGAGAACTTGGGAGGGGAGAGGGACCCGGGCCTCTGCCGCCTGTCACCTGTGCCCGCACCTTCGCCAGCTGGTGGTGCAGGCGGGGCTGTTCCACGGCAACGAGACGCTGTGCAAGACGGTGTCCAGCTCCGAGGTGAACGTGTGCTCGGAGCCCGTGTGGAAGCAGCGCCTGGAGTTCGACATCAACGTCTGCGACCTGCCACGCATGGCCCGCCTCTGCTTCGCGCTGTACGCCGTCATCGAGAAGGCCAAGAAGGCTCGCTCCACCAAGAAGAAGTCCAAGAAGGCGGTGGGTGGGGCCGCTGGGAGGCTGGGGCCAGGCCTCAGAGGGTCGGTGCACTCCTTGCTGTGCCCAGGCCAGCCCTGCAGCCCCAGGGGCCACTCAGCCTGAGGACACCACCCTCCCACCCTGGCCGCTGCCCCGTGGTGTGACGGCTCTGGGTTCCCAGGCTCGTGAGCAGGGCAGTTTGGAATATCTGAGCCTGGGCCTTCGGTCCTTGGGGGAACCTGGAGGCAGCTGCCTGGGGTGCAAGGACAAATTCGCTGTCCTCGCAGAAGGCCGGGGAGCCTGAGTCAGCAGTTGGCCAGGAAGCAGTGGTGGTTGGGCCCTGAGTCACCAGGCCCCGGATGTGACTGGCCGCTGAGCCATGCTGACTCCTCCATAGCTGAGCTGGCCAGCTTTCTGGGGCCAGTATGGTTTGTTTGGGGGTTCCTCCAGAAGCCAGGAGTGGGGATGCAGCTGCGGCAGAAGGGAACCGAGAGGTGGCCAGCCTCGCTGGCTTCCTCACGGGGAGTCTGGGTTCGGGCAGGGAAGCCGGCCTGGGGGCTGGGCCCATCCGTCACATGAGCGAGGGGTTAGCTCTGGCGCTGGCCGTGACGCGCCCCGTTCTCTCCCAGGACTGCCCCATCGCCTGGGCTAACCTCACCCTGTTCGACTACAAGGACCAGCTCAAGACGGGCGAATGCTGCCTCTACATGTGGCCCTCTGTCCCAGGTGGGCCTAGGCCAGGAGGGAGAGGTGCGCGGGGCGGGGTGTCCCAGATGTGGGGCATTGCCCCTGCAACTCCATCTGTCCCTGTGTCCAGACGAGAAGGGGGAGCTGCTGAAC